AATGTAAGTCTCTACATTTGCACATAAATATGATAGGTCTACTTATTCTAGTGTTTGCTGATCCTTTGACTAGGCGGTTCAATACTTGAGCTGTTTGATCAATAATTTTTTTGATGTTCAGGGCAAAATCCAAGATGAAATTTAACTGAAATTGGAGAAGACTGAAGTTTGACTGCAACGTGAGCACCTTATCAGGATGTGCTTTTGGGCATAACAAAAATTGACTGCAGATAAGTTAAGGCCTAAACTCTTGCGAAACTGCAGTCTGCACATTCTCTGTAAAGAATAAAGAAAAATTTCTCTAAATTTCTCAAAATTTGTGTCAGTGTTGAGCATGCTTTAATTTGGGCAGGACTTCCATTGCAACGCATAGTCTTGATTGGGACATGTGGAGTTCAGGACTAGCAACTTGATTATGACAAGATACCACCAAATACAAGTTTCTATAGGCAGGTTAAGATGGCTTTTGCAATGAAAAGTTATTCATATACTGCTGAAAATATTAACTGTGGTAATCATTTAGCTGTTGCGTGGAGTATTAAACTTCGTCACTTAAATAATAATAATGAGTCAAGCAAGAACTTTACCTTAAAAGTAAAACCTTCAACCTAAATATATACTATTGTCTTGACAACATCAAAACAGAAGCTAAAACGCTTTCCTTTTTTTGTTCCATGAAGTTTCTGCTTAGAAACCAAAGCAAGAAATTACTTTCAGTTTTTGCAGAAAGATTACCAAACTCCCTGGTTGAAGCGGTGCCTGTCTCGGTCTGCCAGAGTAGGGCTGCCACAGCACTGTGCTGCTGCACTTGGCGAGCAAGAATGTTTCGAAAAGAGCAAGGGAAGACCACTCTGTGACCCAGCTCATGCCTTTCTTTGAAAGAAGTTCATGGTAATGGTCGTGCTATTAGGTGTTGAAAACTCAGAGGAGAGTGAGTGGGAAGGCCAGTACTTGCCGAGAAGCAGTGGAAGGAGTAAAGCCAGATCAGACCCCAAGCATGAGCTCCAGGGAGGAAGGTGCAGGTAATACTGAGCTGTTGTTTTCAAGTGGCGGCATATCAAAAGTTTCCCTTGCCCAGCGGTGATGGGAGGGAAGTTGTAAAAGGCAGATGAGGGTAACTGCAGACAGAAGCAAAGCTAGTTTTTAGAATTTGCAGATGGTTTATAAATCCTGTTTCTGTGACTGAATTTCCAAGCGATATCGGTTGCCTGAGGCCAGGTTGCAAAGGACTCAGTTGAAAGTAAGCTGAAGGTTGCTAATGGCTTAAGGGTGAAAAAAAAGCAATGAATTGCATAAAAACAGTTAGCCTATCATAAAATGGCTTGTATGAATGATAATTAATGAAGTGTATGGAAAAAACTGTATAAGTTTTTATCAGCAGTTGATACTGGAGGCAATAAGGTGGCAAATACAGAGGTGTGATGACAAGAAAAGCCAAACCATTAGGGAACAGCATAATCATGGAGTTTGAGAACAACTAAGGAGAGAGAAATGTGAAGTATTGGAAGTAAGCTGAAATAAATTGACGTTACGGTGTTAACATCTGGCTGTCTGCAAGACAGGCTGCATCTGCTTGGACTAGACCGTCCATGAAATTTTTGCTGAAACATGTTATGGACTTAGAGGAGCACCACAAGCCTCAAAGTGGTTAAAAGGACATGAAGGATCTATGAAAAAGAAAAAAAAGTTCCTGATAAGATATGACAGAACAGTTAACTTTTGTGGAAAGATATATTGGAAATTGTCGGTGTTATCTCCGAACTGTGAGTGATGGTGAAGCAGAGCTTGAAAGCAGAGGGGTCCTGGTGGTTAATCAAAGCCACAAAGCGAGGAACCTAATCTGTCATGTGACTGTGGCCCTTGGCGCTCCCCACACCAACGGCTGCTTGTGTAGGTGGTTGGATTTCCAGCAAAAGACCTCGTACTCTTCCAGACAGGGCAGGTGTCTCAAGTGGAAATGGCTCTTGTAGACATGGATGAATTAAAATAGAAAAACTGCTTGCAGAGCAGGAGAAAGCTACTGGAGAGGGAAACTCTTGGGTTTCTCTCATGATCACCTGCTTTTAAAGCAGAAAAGATTCTTTATCTCCAGTTGTTCTGAAGGGAAAGTTTAGAAAGAAGTTAATGTTTCCAAACATTTGTTGAAAACTGAGGGAGAGGGTTAGTATAAGCATTTGATTTGGCTATTTCTGGCCAGTTAGACAAAGGACCTGAACTGCTTGGCAACAGCTCTGCAACCTTCTGAGCACTCGCTTCTGTGGTTTTTGTCATTCCTCACTTCCATTCGCTTGCAGGGGGCTAGCTATTAATTATGGCGCATTGACATATGAAAACCAAACCATTATTTGAAAATATTTGAACTAGGTTTGAATAATTTTGATAGATATGAATAGACTATCTGGTATCACAGTACAAATATTCTGCTCTTTATGGTTTAGGCTTTATTTGTACAACTGTAGTCTGAGTCTGCAACCTTTTGTCGTCACTATTTAGGTCTGTAAAGAAAACTTAATAATGTATGGCACAATATGTTTGCTGAAACTGAGTAAAATATTACAGTTCCATAAATGGAGGAATTTTTTTTTTCCCTTTGGTAAAATCATGGATTTATTAGGTTTAAAAAAAATAATCCCAATGAATACCACGTTCAGTCTGGCATTGGAGAGTAGGGAAGGAGGGGAGGCTGCCCCTCTCCCATGCTCTTGGTGCTTTCTCCACTAAGGGTTGTGCAGAGCAAGGATGAAACTGCTGGGTCCTGCCTCATACATGTGCGCACCAGCACCCTACCACGCACAGTGAGTGTAGCAGCTTGTGCCCTGCGTAGTACCGTCCTCTGCACTGGGTAAGGTGGGAATCCTGGGGAGGGAGGAAAAGGTATGTGGTCATGCAGTGGAAGACCATATGGCAATGGAGGGGATGGAATTCAAGTCTTATACGAACCTTCGTTTGGCATTATATAATTTCTAGGGGCTGGATATTGGAACTTGGCTGTTTTCAGGCTTTTTTTTTTTTTGCTTTAGTACATAACTTCTAAGTCAATTTTGATGAAAATTGAAGGCATCTCAGCATCTGTTAAGATCCTCAGACACTCAAAAAAGGGCTTACTGTAAATCAAAGAAGTTTTTTAAAAAATAATCATTAAATCAAAATTAAATTTATGTTATTTATATGTCTTCTCCTAATACTATGTGGTCACATGCTGACTGTTTTGTCTTCCAGGCAGATTTTCTTGGTAATGTGTCATCTGTTTGTGTGCGAAGAAGTGTAAAATGACTAATTCTTTCTACTATTTACATTCATAAAGTAACAATTCTAGTTTTGTTCTTGAAGCAACTACTAAAAGCCCTTCTGTGGAAACACTAGAATGCGACAATTAAATCATTGGTCCCAAGTATTTATGCATTAGCGATGTTATATACTTTACTGAACAAAACAAAATTACCTTGGCAAGATTGTCTTTCCTGTGAACTTAAAATTGCTTGCACCATTTGTATACCTGCCAAGGTTTGAAAGCTATAAACAGGGAGATTTGTGGGGAGAGGAATATATTTTTATATATTTTTATGCCTAAATATATACACGTATACATTGATTAATTTTTTTGGACAATTAAAAGGAGGAGGAGTAAGGGGGAAGAGTTTACAAGGAATTTCAGCTTATTGGTGCTGTTACTATCTGAGGGTGACACATCCTGGATTTTTCCACTGTAAAGATCAGCAATAATTTACAAGTACCTAAAAATCCAGTTTGCAAGTCCTAGAAGGCATCTGTATTTCTCTGAGGTGGTGCATGTGGTGTGGAAGTACCTCTGCTGAAGGTGGGACAAGCAGCCATTTTGTTGGGCCGTGTTTTGCTTGGTGGTTTGGGTTGAGTGGAGGGGTTGCCTCCTCGGTGCATCTCCGGGACTTACGGCAAGTTAGCAGTTGAAGCTCCTGATCTTAAAAGCACAGCTATCTAGAAATAAGTCCATTAGCAGATGTTTCTGGTAGGCTCTGTGCTCACAGGGAAATGAGGAAGCTAGCAGGCTGAGGGGCTGGAGGAGCTTGGCTGATGTACGGCAGGACGAGAGGCTCGTGACAGCCTGCGAGATAGGTCTGCCCCTGTGAAGCTGAGGAAGCCTACCTGGCCAGGGAACGGTATTGCAGAGGAAAATCGAGATCCTGGACTTGGTTTTGCTTGCTGGGAAGGCAGAGTGGCTTGGTTCTGCTGGCTTTCCGTGCTCTTCACTGCAACTCTGCAATAGTTCTCTTTATAAACACCAACATGTTGTATTCCAGTGAGGTAGTGTATTTGACAGCAAGATACCTACTTGCTTGGGAAGTCTTTGCTTATGGGAAGCAGCAGACCTGAAGATCTGGGAAGCGCTGGCAGCCAGAGACAACCTGACACTGCTTCTGTGTGTGTCCGTGCTCCTCAACGCTGGCTGTCGGTGGTGGAGCTGGCCGGGCTCCTCACGGAGATCCTGCTGGCATCACTTGCTCCCCTCTGCCTTCTGGCAGCTGAGTTGGATTGTAGCAAATTATTTTTCTGCTCCTAGAGAAACCCTCATTTACAAATACAGACAGTAAGTGGCTGTCAGAAGCGCCTTAATTTCTTGGTTGTCTTTTATCTGGATAAATTCTGCCTTTTTTCCTGGAATTTTAGGAGGAGGGCAGCTAGGATTTCTTTTGCATAGTTATGCAGCACAAGTGTGTGTACGTTGAATATACATTGTATATACTGTGGTTTCTGATATCCAATTCAAATACCTTTTTGATTTAGCATTAAGAGGTAACTGATTGCTTTATCAAATGGACAAGAATTGCTTATTTTCCTGGACAGTCTTCAACACTGTTGAGAAATTAATGGCAGTTTCAGAATTTATGAAGGACAAAGAAATGGTATGCTCTGATTGAAAGAGCTAATTAGAAGTAAATGCCTGTGGGTATTGGGGGTTTTCCCCCCTACATTTTAGGAGCATTAGACGAAAATTTAATAATTGCTTTTAATTTTACAGGCAGCCAGCATCAAGCGTGAAATGACCTTCCCTGCATTTCAACAGGAGGATGTAAAAAGTGACATCAGTCAAAAACTGCCAGACCAACAGTTTCTCCTGTTCACCACAAAGGAGGAAGATTTAAAAACAGCAGAGACCAAAAAAGCAAACAGAGCTCATGAGTATGAAAAAGAAAACACTCGTTCTGTTTGTCTTCTGGAACAGAAGCGCAAGGTTGTTTCTTCAAATATTGATGTGCCTCCAGCAAGGTAAGGAAAGTTGGAGGGTTTTTTGTTGTGTTTTGTTTTAAGCTTTTTTCCCCCTCTTTTTTTTTTTTTTTTTTAAAATGGCATTTTAGAGGCAAGTTTGGTAAGCAGTACAATGAACTGATAAGACTAGTATTCGTGTCCAAGCAGTCTAAAGTCAATCACAACTTCAATACTTGAGAGATCTGCTAGAAAATTGAAAACACTAGTAGCAGAAACTGAGACCATCTGCAGTGTAGGACTTTGTATTGCTTTTGCAGTGTTTTTGCTTTTATAACGTGCTGCAGCTGAGGTACTCCCAGAAGAGGATGTGTCTTAACAGGAAGAGATTGTTGACCCAGCTTCAGCCCGAGAAGTAATCTTCTAAATTAGACACAGAATCATCTTACCTGCTAGCAATTTTTTAAATTATTATTATTATTTATTTTTTACTGTGATACTTGCAGCCACTTTATACTCATGGGAGCGTGCAGTGACTTACGCTGCGTAATGAGGATGTAGTATCTTATGTTCTGTTATATCCCTGTGCAGGTAAACAGCTGGGTCATAATGTGGTCTATGAAATGAATTAATAGAAAAAAGTAGTGAGGAAAGGCCAATGTAGAGAAATCAAATTTGTACAAAATTGGGGATTTTGGGATTTTGGTATTGCTTTTTAATTTGTTATTCCTTGAAGATCTGTTGTGAATGCACATAAATGTGTCTTCAGCATTCACATCTGGGCAGTTACACTTTTAATTATAAACTCTTTATAGGGAATTATTTTGAGAAAAATAATTGTTCTTTAATCTGAGACTTGACATATATCACAGCAAGAAATTCAAGATTTGTCTTTTTTTTTTTTTTCCTCCTTCCTGATATTAAAGTGGAATAATAGGAAGAGAAGGAGAAACTGCGAATTTCATACTGGCTAGTGATTTAAAGAGAAGGGGCTCGAAAATACGGAGTCTAGATCCTTGAACTTTGGGGAAGGACTTCACTGCTTTGAGTGAGAAACGAAATGACTCCTCTAGGAAATGCTGAACGTTAGTATAAAAGAAACATATCCAGTAATGCTAAACAGACTCACTTGTATCAGTGGTGAAAAACTGGCAACAAATTGGGTTTTCTTTGTTGCAAGATGACAAGTGCTTTTTCTTTTTTCTTTTTGTTGTTTGTGATCTTGTGTTGGCATCAGTCTATCTGCAAAGAGTTTTTTCTTAACCTGCCTGATAAATTCACTTGCACGTAATATTCAGTGAAATGCCTTCCGAGTTTATAGTGCCACTTAAAAAATATGTAGTCAAACTGATGTTTTGTTGTTTTTTGGTTTGCTTTCTAAAATCCAACATAAACCAGCAGGTTCTGCCACATCATCCAGAATAGGATGACTGTCATTTTCCTCTGGCTCTCATAGATGACACTTGTGAAAACTGCAAAGTGCACGAGCATTTTGACAAGATTTTTTTTTTCCCACATATATCTAGTAAAAAGGTATGCATTAAAAACTTGAAAATGTTAGGATCCTTATTTGAGATTTTCACCAGTAATCAACCCCATAATGGCTGAGTGACCTTCTCATTCATGCTTATGTGTCTCAAAGCAAGTAGGATCATCAGAAAATTCAGGGTAGCAGGGACCTCAGGAAGTCACCTAGCCCAGCCTCCTGCGCAAACTATATGTTAGCATTTCCATTTTACAATTCAGGCAGCTAAGGTACAGGATTTAAGTGCCTTTTTGCGTGGCTTCATGCAGATAATCAACCTGAAGCTTGAGTTGAGCTCCCCTTTTCTGTAACTGCAAGATCATCGTTCCTTGGAGGGATGGATATTTTTTCCCCAACGAAGTAGAAAAGAGAATGAATAAACATCTTTAATGCCTTCTTAAGACTAATTGTGACATCAGTTGTGAGCACAAGATACTTAAGATGATAGGAAATATGTTCATTTGCAAAGGTGCCTTCTAAAATTGTTCATTGTTCCTGTATTTTGTTGTGAAGAGATAAATGATCATATTACATTGTTGCATGTTTTCAGACATGCAGGTTGAGCTGCTGCATTAGCAGCATTAGAGAATGAAGTAGAAAACGAACCTAGAGTCTAAATTTGATAGTATGATAAACAACTCGGTCACTATTGCTGCAGTTCTGAGGACAAGTTTAAGTTTCCCTTTTAATCTGAGGCGGTTTATTGGGCCATTTGTCCATATGGGACAGGAAGAGCGCTAAAACCTTTGCTTGGAGATCTTACTAAATATTTGTTGTTGTAATGAGGGGAATGCCCAGTCTCTCTTCCTCTTCAGCACAGTTTGATCTCTTAAGTCATATTCCCTGAGAAGTGAGAGTCCAGGCGTTTGACGTTCCCCTGCCTCTTTATAAGCCCCTTCCAGTCTTCTGTCTAGGACTGCGCTGATGGAGTTGCTTGTTCCCCAGAGGTGAATTCCTCCTCTGTTCTTCTCCTGGCAGGACTTGTTGGGTCAACTGTCTTCTCTGATGAGAACATCCATCTGCCTTTGCAGCTTGCTGATTGCCTTCACAGATTATTTGTTGTATCCAATTGTGAAAGGTCAACTTGAATTAATCAGATGATGTTTACAAAAGCATGGGAGAAATAAGGAGTTTAATATGATCTTCAGTTTCTTATTGCTACATACACCCTCTTTACAAAAAACTTTCAGCTGTTGTTTTGAAGTAGAAAAATGCTATGGAAATGAAGCTTGCTATTTATTTTGTTTTAAAACCTTAGTGGAGCTGAGAAGGTTACCCACTTTACTTCAGATGCCAAGGTAAAGGGTAACATTAAATTTTGCAGTATCCCACTAAACCCAGGACAACATGTAAGTGATTGTGAGACAGAAGTTTCTCATACTGCAGAATCCTTATTAACAGGGTATATGAGTATCTCCATAAGAGCTCTGAAAAAGTGTCTGCAAAAGAGCTGGTAACATGGATAAGTCTACTTCACTTTGACCACAAAATGAAACAACGCTCAACCCATCTTACCTGTTTTTAAGGATCTCAGTGAATAAGAATGAAAATCTTTGTGAGGCACTGTATCCAAAATAACTAAGATCAGAAAACACCAGCATAATAAATGTTGCTTCTGAGGCATTCAGCCGCAAGGCTTTTGTTATTGCTTATAGGCTCTGAAATTTTAGAAATGTGGAAATATCTTAACCGAGTCCCTGGTGTTTCAGGTGATTGGTACACAGGTGTGCTGAAATTACAGTAGATGGAACTGTAAAGCAGGGACAGGCTGGTGGCCATCGCACGTGCAGGAAAATGGGAAAATGATGGAAATCATCAGGACTTTAGAGTTTTGTTTGTTAATGAAATCTGGAAAGAAGAGGTAGAGCTAATTAATTAATACAACAATCTAATAATAATACAATGCAATTAATAGCCCAACAGTTACACACTTGCCTGGAGCCTGGAAGGTGTGGGTTCAGGTTCTTTTGTTGTTGTATTTGGAACAAAGACCTGAACTGGGGTCTCCGGTGTACAAGGGAGGTGTCTTAACCATCAAAGTCCTGGCATATTCAAGGTGCTTCATAGGGCAGCTCTTTAAAGTAATAGTGACAGGCTAAATGTAGCAGACCTGAAATAAATATTTTATTACATGCAGGAGAATTTTAATACTGAAATTAAAATAAATTTTAAAGTTGATTGTTTACATTTCCTATTTCATCTTGCATAAATACTGCAGACCTTTCTCTGTATGTTATGTACTGTACTGGAAGTGTCTTTTGGATTAAAATAGGAGGAGACCAGGACTTTTTCTTACTGATTTTTATGTTTTGGAATGCAAAAATGAAATGAGAGGTTAACAGCGTTAAGTCTTTCCCTTTTCAGATTTCTTCATTTGGTCATTTTGAACAAAACTTACACGAGTTAAATAGCTTTCCTACTTCTGAAGCTCAGATGAGCATAAATGTTCAGCTTGAGTAGATGAATTATTTAAAATAATAAGGAAATTTTAATTCCTTACTTTCCCTTTAAATTTATTGGTAGCTTTGGTGCATGAAGGACCGGTGTCTTGGAGAATGAGGTCTGACCACTAGACTATAAACTGCAATTATCTCTGAGAATTGAGATGTTATCTGTACAACAGAGGAGAATATGCTTTACATTGACCTCCAGTTCAAACATGAGCGATCAAACACAGCCCAGATCCCTAGGATCTGAGTAGTGAAAGATCATTTTCTAAAAAGAGTGGTGTCACTGAGGGACTAATCGCCTTGTCTTGTGGGCAGAAGCAAGCACAGGTCTACCAGTGTTTCAGACAGCTACATCTGTAGATGTCAGATGTAATCAAGGATGATGTCCCTGGTAGGCAGCGGCATGGAAGTTAACAGAGCCTTTTTTCTCATTTGTATTTTCATCAGTTACTTACCGTAATGCACATTTACTCCCTAAGTAAGTCAACAAGAAAGATGAGAAAAGGCCTGGGCTGCTGATGCTGTGGGTGTGAGGGTGTGAGTCGTGATGTAGGGACCCAGTGCAGGTCAGGCACGTGGGGAATGGCTTCTGCCTCTCGGAGGATGAGGATGGAAGGGTGGGCGATGCAGAGCAAGGGATGAAGTTTCCTTTTTTTGAGTAAAGTGTGAGAATAAAGGTCTGGAAATGGTGATGGTGTTAAAGGTCCTTTTAGATGGAAGTGTTTTGACTAGCTGGAAACCCTTCAAAACTTACATGCATTAGTGTCAGAAGTGGTATCCTTTCTGGTGTCCGAGAAAGGAGTAACTGGAAACATCCGAAAGGTTAAGAGAATTAAAGAAGGAACTAGGCAGGCATCACTCCTACCCCTCTGATGGGTGGGAGTGTTTGAATAGTTTTGCTTTTGTTAACCTTTTGCTAGGTGACCTCAAAATATTGTGAAATTTGCATTATCCCCTTGCCACATCATTCTCCTTTTCCCCAGTCCTCCTGTACCCTGTCTTCTCTGAAAAAAAGAAAGGAATATAAACTTTCTAGCTGCCTAATTTTTTCTACGTTAATTTTGTGCTCTTAAAGGACAAGCCAAAGC